CCTCTGGTGGCCGGAGGGTCTCAGTGGGGGGAGACAGGCCGTGCAACTTGCAACGGCGAATCAGGTGATGACGGTCTCAGTCTGACTCCGTGTTTCGGAAAACACGTTGCTTTTGCATTTGGGGAAGTTTTTGGTTCACTGTTTTCAGAGCAACCTTTGGTTCTGCGCTTGGCTGATTGGTAGCTTGTTGCCCGGACCGCCAAACAAGGCCTGGGCGGCCAAGATGTTTGTGCAAACTGAAATGCTCCGTATGCCAACCTGGCCACTGTGGAGCTTAGCGGCTTAGCAGTTTGTGCAGAAAACCTGTTGCTTTGGGGATTGCGAAGCTGAACCACCTCTCCATCTATTTCTGCAGCGGCAGAGCTTGGCATCAGCGATTCCAATTCTAAGAGCTGCTACCGGAGCAAAGCAGGGAAAGGCATTTTGACACTGTCAGAAGTTCGGACACTAGGAGAGTTTAGCAGGTTTACTATGGTTTGCTCACCTGTAAGAGGAGGTTGGCCAAGCCTTCAGATTGACGACTCATTCACTTCCGGTCCTGCTATAGCATGTGCCTCATGTGCCTCTCCTTGTGTGCGAAAGGCCACTTAGGGGCACAACATCATGATTCATGATGACGAGCTTTGAGGCATTTCAGACCTTCCAGCTGTCAGAGCTGGTATCGTTTCAGATGTTTGAATCAAGAGACCTATCGCAAGAAGCAGTGGCTGTCAGACTTCATGGCGTCGACTTTCGCCTGGCCGCCGTGCGCGCACGGGGCAGAACGCACGGCTGCGTCCGTGCGGCCTTTTTGTGCCACAACGCACGCGTGCAACCCTCCTGTGTAGTTTAAATGCACTCTTGGAAGATGCAGTTTGGAAAACCCTCAATCAGGAGAAATTTCTTGAGCTACGCTGCAAGGGATGCGGAGTCTACAATGGATGCAGTTGGGCCGTGTTGAGAAGGATTGGAGCACCCCTTCCGTCGACAAGGTTCAGAGACTAGCTGGCTCTAGCTGGCCTGGTTTTGCTTAAGGCCACTTTCCATATAGGTTCCAGGACTGCAAATCCAAGCTGTGGCTGGGGCTGGGCCGGGAACAAGGCCTGCTAGGCCAGCTATAGCCAACGAAGGGGCTTTGGGGCAACGGCGTGGACGGTCATGACTTCATGGTGAAATTTGGAGAACTTCTCAAAACCCTAGGGCTCCAACTACCTCCTCCTGAGGAGGTGGTTAGGGTGGGTTCTGGGGGGTTTAACCACCTGAGGATATGGTTGGAGCTCTAGAAAAGGATGCTGCACCATGCTGAACCGTTCTGGGATGTGGGAAGGCATTCGACTGGAAGAGCAGACGTGCATCATGAAAGCACCCGAGTTTCAGAACAGACCCAGTGGTCGAGAGTCTAGCCTAGACGGGAGGGCAGGAGTGAAAAGCATAGAGATCACCACTTCACCGATTTGATATCACTTGATTTACCTGAAAATTCCAGCTTAGGACCTGTACTTAAACCACCTGTTGGAAGGTCCTGGTAGATGTTCGCCCCCAGATTCCATGTTTCGAGCTTTGAATGTCTGAGGCCTTGATTGTCGCTTCGAGCGCTATGGCCGCATCGTGCTGGTTTGCACCGAGGCTCGGGGCTATGGGAGCTGAACTGTCAGGTCAAAAGAACACCTTCCATCGCCCAGTGCAGGTGCATGTCCGGTCACCATTCGGCAAGTACGGGGTGCAAGTCCGGCCACCATCATGCGGCAAAAGATTGACATGAATGGCATTTTACATCATGCTTTGGTATACTTGCAAGAAGGCTTTGAGTACAGATCTGGATCAGCAGCATTCATTGGTGGTTGCTGAGCTGGCTGATTCTCAAGTGGCTATAGTCTGTAGACTCTTAAGATTAAGAACCCCCCCATTGAATTGCATTAACCTCTTCTTATGGGATGGCTTTTTTGATTAAGAGTCTACATTAAGTCACTAGGAAGCTACCAGCAAGCGCAACCCAACACCCGCCCAGGGCTCTGATGGTGAAGTGATCCGAGCAGCTGCTGGCTAAGCACACCATGCACAAGGGTGTTGGATGTGTATTTTTGTTGAATGTTTTAGATAAACAAACCGAGGTACTTTCGTTGAGGTGGCACCCAAGTGGATCAGCATGAGTATCCCAAGAATGGACATGAAATTCCTTCGAACACTGGCTTATGATCGCAGAGAGCTAATAGAGAGCTAGTTCAAATGTTGAACATCAGCTAGGTGCCAGACAGACCTGCAGACCCTGCAGACCGGACCTCGCTTTGCCGAGGTCTTGGGCTGCATGCATGGGCTGAATGCTGCACTCCTGGGACTCGGACCGGAGGTGGGCAATCCTCGGCCCCCTGGTGAACGCCATAACTGGGTGGTGTGTCTTTATGACCTCCTGGCCCAACAAGTTTTGGTCTAAGTGCCCTTCTTCAGGGGGTCGAAGTGGGAGGTCTCCTTATTTTGATACACCATTCGTGGAAATGACCGGTGACGCAAAGGCAATCAGACACCCCTCGCATTGCAGGATGGCGAATTTAAATTGCGTGAGTTGTGGGAAGCTGAGAGCATTGATGCTTGTTTCTTGCAATTTTGTTCTCCACGCCCACAACACAACTTCTTTTCTAAATTCCATCGGTTCACTTATCAGGCCCGATGATTGAATCACTCAGGTCGCAAGAGGAGCAGGACGATCCTCATTTGGTCACCCGTCGACATGTTTTTGTCGGAGCACCGTGCGAGAACTTCGTCTCGCGCTTGGACCTCCATACATCGTTGCAAGACTGGGGCCAAGACGAGGATGTCGGAAGCCATGGCTGGCACGAAGGTTTGACTCAACCCGGATGAAGGAGATGTGTTCAGCTCGTTCCGCCGAGCATGTTGCATTAGATTGTTCTTAGACAGACACCTGGATTTGCTCAATGTGATGTTTTTTTCCCGGTTAAATCCCCAAACCTGGGGAACAAATTTTCTATGTTTCACGTTTAGCAAATAACACATTAAGGTTTTCTCAAGTAAGAAAAGCTCCAGAAAGTCATTGGTAGTGCTCAAAGGCTCACAGTGGATTTCACGAATGTCAATTTTAGGAGATCTTCGCTGGCATGTCAAACTCAATTCAAAGTTATTCCCAGTCCTCCAGTAAGAACGATTTAACTATTTGGTTCTAAGGAACCTGGAACGTTTGAGCTTAGTTAGGTTTTTCTACACGCATGAGTGACATGGAGGAAAGATGCCAGGATTTGTTGACTGGCTTCTGTATTTTGGATGGCCGTCACTGCCTCAGCACAGGTGTCTTTGCTGGGGCTCCTTATCATTATGAAGGCTTAGGGTCATGCTTAGGAAGAAACACGTGCAATAGTTGCGTTCTCTGTTGTAAACCAAGTGAGACTCTTGAAGCCATTTCGCCAAGTCATCTAGTTCTGACTGCTGAACTGAAGCCTGCCTCAGCTGCCTCAGCGACTTGCAAACGTCGATCCTAGACTAGACATCGTTTCCTTTCATACGAGTCCTTTCAGCCCATCCTGTATACTGAGTATACTGAGGCTCTCGCTTCTTTGTGATTGAAGGCACTGATTGCTTGACAGGGGAAGGTGGCAACTGAATGCTTGACATGTTTGCACTGGATTCCAGTTGATTCCTGTTTGCTGAACAAAAAGCCCTACTGTATCGAACACCCCGTGGACACTGACACCCTTCTTGTGCGAACGCCCGGTCGCCTCCAGTTTGATGCATCAAAAAGAACGGTTGACCTGGGTGTTGTAGGGTAAAATCCTTTAGTGAAACCACGAAGTACAATTCCCTCGATCTATATTTGAGGACATGGTTGTACAACCAACAATGGTTCTGACCACTCCGACACTAGGCCTTCGGGAAGGCCACAGTTGGCCACAGCTTTTAGAGGCGCCGGGAGGAAGTTGACTGGAGAGGGGGGGGCAGATGGGTGTCCATTCAAAACCCCAAGATATCAAGATGCATTCATTCAATATGAGGAACACCTTTGAGTTTGTGGCCCGTATGCCTAGCGCCTTTCGGACAGTTTGTGTTCATTAATGTTCATTGTATGCTTGAATTGCCGCTTTTTTGGGGGGGTGACAAGTTACAAGGGTCCAATTAAACACGTGTTTGGTAGGCTGTTCACGGAGCAGGAGTGGTATGTATTGTTCTCCTTTTGGTTGAGGGGGGAAGGCAGAAGGAGAAGCTTGTTCTCACACCACCCATGCAGGATCAGCGCAGAGTGTCTCCCTTGCTCGCGGCTCCGCGAGCCACAGCCAGGTCATCCCTCGTGGCCCTGGGGCCCCCAAGTTGCTGGGGGGCCGAGTTGCGCCACCTGAGATGGACGACACTAGCTGGGCAGATGAACGGACTGGAAGAGATTTGGAAGAGTACCAAGTTTGCTGTAAGAAGAGGCATGTGGAAGGGTTGGTTTATGTTGGTTTGTGGGGGTGCGATTCACGTTGTTGATTCCGTTGATTAATCTTTAACTTGCGTTGATTCTGTTGATAAATCTCTGGTTGCGCCGCACTCCAGAACTCATCTTCTATGCTTCAGAGCTTCAGATGACGTCGGACCTAAGGATGATATATATAATATATATATATATATATATTTGATTGGAACTCACCTTTGATCATGCAAGAATGAGCAATTCCTCTTTGGCCTTTCCTCGTTGAAATGCTCTACCATCATCGCCTCCACCAACCCGAGGCTCCACAACACCAGCATCGGCTTTGGGGAGAGGCCACCTTGAGGGTGAGCGGGACCTGGCTGGTGTTTTGGGAGAGTGGGTGTTACAATCCAAGTGGGCCGTCCAGAAATATTCTTTAGGATATTCGCACCTGGCATGAGCTACTATAGGAACAACGGGCATCGCTACTAGGAGCAAGGAGCTACGAACGTAGCTCCTGGCAGTACTATGGGGGGAGTTAAAAAAGACATCAAGGCACGGCCCATATCCGTATGATTTGTGGGGTAGCCCCACCATGCCCCATCTCCGCCCAATTCCCTCGCTTTGCAGTCCATGTTTTTCTCCGGGCGACACCGACGAACGCTCACCATGACCCGCGCTGCCCTGGTGTTGGGTCTTGTGGCGGCTGCCGCTGGCAGCTGCTTCCTGATGCCCTCCGCGCCGGGTGCTCACGCAGCGCCCAGGCGGGCGCAGGCTGAGCAGTTGCGGCAGGAACGTGTGGAGAGCAGACACTTGGAGCAAGTTGGGCAAGTTGGGGGGGACTGTTTGGTGCTGCCAGTGCTCGAAAATTTGACGGGAGCATGTGCCACTGTGTTGTCATTAGTCTACTGTGTTGTCATTAGGTCGGGCCGCAAGGTCACAGCCTCAAGATCACAGCAGCTAGGCCTCGCCTCACACAGCTCTGAGTTCTGCTCGCAGCAGCTCGCAGAACTCAGGCAACAGCTGGGCTGCCCCTCTCCTGAGCCTGGGCGCTGCGCTGGGACTGGTCTTCAGCGTCGTGGCCGCGCCAGCCAAGGCGATCACCGCTGAGCAGTTCAGCCAGCTGACCTACAATCAGGCGCGTTTGTGGTCAGCCTGCGTGCCAGCAACTACTTGGTGTGCAGGTGCTGGTCATCGCGCCATGCTATTCTTTTGCATAAAAATCATTAAACATCCATATTCTACCAGAGACATGTTCAGAGTTCAAGATGTTTTTATTCGCCACAGAAGCCACTGGTGTGTAGTTGCTTGAAGCCACGTCGCTCAGTTCACCCGCCTGTTGAAACGCTGCGTCCGGCCTGGAGGTGCGCGGGTCCGGCCTGGCAAACCGCTGCCCCACCGTAGAGTCCAACGGCAGCGAGGTCCCTGTGAAGCGCCTTGGATCGAGACATCGACATCACATCCGCCACCGTCTGGGGGGTTTTGCGACGTTTTCTTTTTTCCATGTTCCCGTTTGGGCTCCAATCACCTCCTGAGATCACCTGAGAAGATGGGACAGGGGTGGAGGACAGGGGGGGTTTAACCTGAGGATATTTTTGGAGGTGATTTTCATGTTTGGGAGATGCAACATAGACGGATGTATGTCCCTTCCTTTTCAAGATTCCAAGCTAAGCTTGTACATCAGCAGATTTGCAGGGCTGGTTCCAAGCTGATCAACGTTTGCTTCGAGCCCAAGTCCTTCGCTGTGGAGATCGACACTGACAATGGCAAGGCGGGGCTATCAGCCTGAAAAGTTGGCTGGGAAGTGGTAGCTGAGGAGGGGAACTTGTATCATGGCGCTCATGAGGACCACCTTTTTGTGGACGAAAGAGGCCCGACCCGCCCACCCCGAAATTATCAGAAGCCAACCCACGTTCTGCGCGTAGTATGCGCGCGTTCCGCGGCGCAGGAGTTTGCCACCACCAAGTTGACCACCAGACAGACCTACACTTTGGCCTTCGTTGAGGGCAACTTGGATCCCAACCCCATCACCTTCAAGGCTGGGGGAGTTCTGCACGAGTGCACATAAGTAGCGGAAGGTGGCCGCAGTTTTCACTAGCAGGAGTGAAACCAGCTATTCTAATTGCTATATATGGTGAATGTTCACTGCTATTCCACTGGTAATAGTCGCAGGACTCGGTGGTATTCTATTTCCACATGTTTCCACACAGCTTCCGCGGGCGCTCCTTGCTGCTCCGAACAGCCCGCCGGCGCAGGAGCAGGACGGCATGGACTTTGCGGCCACCACTGTGAAGCTGCCGGATGGCGAATATGTGCCAAGCCCGGAGAAGTCAGAAGATGTATAGACGTACCTGAGGATACCTGAGGTCGTAGGGTTGGTTTTGGAGGACCACAACGCAACAAAAATACATCCTGTTGTGCAGTCCATTGTGGAGAGGTTGGTCGAAAGGAGTGAATGTTTGCATATGTTTGCATCGTTTTGCATCCGACATGGGGCTCCAGCCTTGTAGACGATCCGACATGGCAACATCTATTCTGGAATCGTGCTTTTGCAGATCCAACACGCAGGTGCCCTTCCTATTTACCGTCAAGGAGTTGGTGGCCAAAGGCCACTGGCTACGTCAAAAGTGTTTGTTCTTCAATCGGGCAGGGAGAGGTGGCTGAGGGACAGTGGGAAGGGAAGGGTTGGCGAGAGAGATTTGGTAAGTGAGGAGTCATGGTTTGCTTTGCCAAAGCGCATGGCCTAAAAACTTGTTTGAACAAGATCTCTATCGTTTTCATGGGTATGCTAAGAATCCTCAACAAAACAAGAACACTTATAACTTATAGTCAGATAGGCAGTAAGGCGTTGCTAGCTCCCAAGCCCTTCAAGGTATGAGCCTGTGTCAGATCTATATATGTTTGGAACACCGATTTCCCTCTAAAATTCACCAGTGTGTTCACCCAACCTACCTGCCACCTGCAGGGCCAATGGCCGACGAGAGACAAATCTTTTGAAAGCACGCAGGTGAGGGCAGCTCCTTTAAGCCTGGCTTCACCTGGGGCGGTGAGTTCAGCGTGCCCTCCTACCGCACTGGTGGTTTCCTTGACCCTAAGGCCCGTGGTATGAACTTGGGCCACTCGGCATGGGAGGGGGGAAGTCGCCCAGCAAAAAAAGCGTTGAGGATGTATTAGAACAAGTACATAGACAGTGGATGTGAGTGGCATCCATCAGAGGCTTCTAGCTTTTTTTCCTCTCTCTCAATACCTATAGAAAAAGCATGGAAAAGCTATGCACAAATTCTGAGGATCCCCGCTGGGCGGTCATATGTGGTCACACCTAAGAACTTCTGCTCTCACCTGGATCCTGAGAGCCCTTGCGCTGGCCCCGTTGGCACCCACCGGCGGCGCGCCGCAAGTGCTCCCGCGCGCCGTCCCTGAGGCTACGATCAGGTCGTGGGGCTTCCAGCCATGCAGGCGGATGGCAAGAGTGGTCAGGATGAGATCTTCAAGGAGACCAACAAGGTGAGGGACTGGTCCTCGACGGTCCAGAGGACCGGGAGAGGAGGAGGAAGATGATGGAAGCGGCGCCAGACGGCACTGGGCTCTCTGCGGACTGCGCCGAACGAAAAGCACTAATCTCGATGTTGCCAAATAACTGGGGAACAAAAACGGGTACTGTTGTGTTTGGCGATTGTATGCTATTGTGCAACCGGTGATCTCTATCAGCTGCCTTGTGCCGACTTGTGCTTGGTTATACGGATATAGCTAGTCGAGGTATGTCGGTAGGAATTTCACTGCTGCAGTAAGGGAAAAGGAAGTGGCAGCCATGGCCTCCTCTGGTTTTCTGCACCCCACCATGCCCCACCGAAGGGTCGTCCTCAGGTCTTCGACGTGGGACGCGGCGCCATTGAGATGGAGGTGAACAAGGCGCACTTACACGGCGAAGTGCGGGAGACAGGGATTGGATGGGAGACGGATGGAGACTATAGTAACTAAGAAGCTACTAGAAAGAAGTCGTATTACTGAAGATCATCACCTGCTTGGGTGTGCTTCTTTTCCCCTGAGGGAGGGCTGTTAGGGCAGTTAGGGGAGGTCTGTCGGGTCGCTCGGCTCGGGATGGCTCTGTGACTCCGACCTTTGGAATGTTTACAGCTTCGAAGAGCTTCACATGGTCGACTTCGTTTTGGCACTCTTCGTCAAATAGAATGAACATGAATGAACCCAAAACAAGCCGAGCGCAGGTGAACCAGGAGCTCGGTGAGATTGGCGGTGTCTTCGTGTCCAAGCAGCCCAGCGACACCGACATGGGCGCCAAAGAGCCTAAGACAGTGACCTGGTGAGGTGAAAACTGCGGGCTGAACTCGGGCGATTTTTCTAATTTTGGGTGAACAATCCCCTTCATCCTAGGTTGGAGGCCATGAGTATGTAGCTAGGAGGCCAATGCTTCTAGGTCGGAGGCGGTCGCTATTGATTTTGGTGGATCAGATGTGTATCCCTAGGGATCCAAGTACCTTCTCAGAAGGTGATTGGAGACTCTTTTATGTAGGTGCCAGGAGGGTCCAGTCGTACCTTCTGAGGAGGTATACGACTGGATCCCTAGGGTATCGTCCCGACCTGGTCATTTTCCCCCCCTCACGTCCTGGCGACGTGGATTTTGGTCCGGGGGAGCTTGGCTCCGACCGGGCCTTGAGAGAATGTTTTTTTGGGCCGGGTGTGTGTGGATGGGATGGGAAAACTGCATGAAGGACCTGAAAGACTCGAGATCTGTGCACGTCACGGACTCTCCGAATCTAGACTCTAGACATGGGGAGAAGATTGGGCCACAATGATATCTAGATCACCTGCAGGTTTGAACCGATGCAAGTGGTTTGGACCTGTGGGTTTCGAAAAAACGGGTGCTCATCATTTGTGTGCTGTGACTGTCCGAAGCTTGGATTTGTCACCCAATTCCTTGGATAAAACGGTTGGGTGGAAGGTTCAAGCCTGAAAGACTACCGTGTGAACTTCTCTAGCAGTTGCTGTCCACCATGTTGAGTTCAGTTAGTCAATGATGCAGAGAGAATGCACTCCGAGCATCCAAATCAGAAGGGGTGGCAGGAATGACGTTGGTGCCTATATATTATCTACCATGCTTTTTTGTTCAGGTGTGGCTTTCAACTTACTTGTTGGTAGTTTGTGTGTTTTCTGATGTTTTGCAATGCTTTATCAAGAGGGATTCCAGATTCCTCAGATACACGTTGTTTTCATTGCGTCTATGCCAAGACCTGAGGTGCTGTTGAAGGGCATCTTCTATGGCAAGGACAGCCTGGGGATGGGTCAGGGTAGTTGCCCTCTGGTTGCTCCCTATAACCGGGACTGGAGAACCAGTTCCGCTTGCTGGCTGGAACACGTTCTTGAGACTTGCTAAGAGTCCATCCGTTTTCCAGTGGAAGATTCCCATTTAAGGAAATCCCTCTTTTCTGGGCGAAACATGCCTTTCGCCCAACGAGATTGACACCAGGTGCATTGAAAGCCCAGGGTGTCGCACTTCCAGTTCGGTGTCGCCGTTCACTGCCGCACCCCCCGTTCGCTTCCGTTCGCTCGTTCCAGGTCGTAAATGCCTGAGCCGCGCGGCGCGCCACGAACGGTCGTGAGTGTCACTGGGTTTTTGAGATGGGACCGTGCCCGGACGCCCATAAAAGGCGGCCGTGCGGCGCTGGTGAGTTCGGGGAGCGCAGACTGCGCATACAAGACGATCAGAATAGGAAAGGTTAGTGGAATCCGGGCACTTTTCTCCAGGTGCGGCAATGATCGAAAGTGCTTTGAACTGGGTTGTCGTCGACACCGTTCGGCGTCAGGAGAGTTTCTTTCCAGTTGGTGTTGTTTCTGCGACGGAGGTTCTGGGATAGGTCCTTGAATTGAAGGTTTCTTCTACAAGGGGCAACCCAATTACTGTATGTAATATAACAACAAAAGGAAGAGTAGGAGTAGCTTGGAGCAAGAGGAGGTTGAATTCTCTCATGTTTGTTTTGGGATTGTCACCGTCCTCAACGGCCAAGTGCGACTTGCCTCAATGGCACGACACAAGTGGCCGAACTCGCTTGGCCTAGCGGAGTGGTTTGGTCAACGGCCTAGCGGCATAACCACAGTCACTATCAGACAGAGCAGTATTAACAATTGCAACCACAATCAATGCCTTTTTTCTTCCTGGTGGTTGCTTGACCGGTTGTACCAATCGGGGGTACTACTGTAGATCTACTGTAGCACTTGGTGACCAATGACCGAGGGCAAAGGATCTCACACAAGCGTATTCCTGGTCCGCGTGAATGGACCGAGGAGGTTAAACACACGACCACCCTTGGTAGCCTTGGCAGTGAATGAATCGCGTGAGCAGTCCACGTTTTGCAGGCTTTACGCAAGCTTTGGGCCTCAATTGAAGCAGATCAAGATCCGACAGACTTTGGAGAAGCTGTCCAGCAGGCCCGGGCCGAAGAGTCAAAGTAGAGGTTGAAGTGGTGAACGAGATCAAGATGCCGAAGCCATCTGAAACCAACAAATGTGTTGAAAGAACATTGGACTTGCGGTCTCACGTGTGGACACTGGGTGTCTCCTTGGTGTTTTTTTTTGGCAGGTCCTCCTTGTACTCATGGAACAGATCGGTCCCGACCTCAGGGAGGGGTGGCGCTTGCCGGCACCACTCGCTGCCTCCTGCGTTCGCGGTGCGACCTCTCACCTCTCTTAGTGCAGTGGTTTCAGAGTTGATGGCGCAGACCCCATGATATCCTTTAGATGGGGGTCCATATAAACCGCCTCTTAGGTCTGTGCCATCTACTCTCAATCCACTATGCCTCTCCATCTCCCGTACCTGTCCCCCATCGATAGTACCTCCCAGGTCACTGAGGCGGATGCGGGAGCCAATGAAGTGCCCAAACAACTCATGGCCCGGGCGCCCGTGTCGTTGACTGACCACGCGTTGACCGACCAGGCGTTTCGACCAACCTCGTGGCCCGAACAGAACGTCCATCCGGTGGAATGGAACATGGAACACCCCAAAAAGGAGCTTTTCATGAACCGTGATGATTGGGGTTTGTCTCTTCGCCGTGGCAATCGCGAACTCGGCGAACTCCGCGCACTTCGGTCGGGCGAGAGTCGCTCATGCTCGAAGCGCCGGAGCCGGGGAGGCGCTGAAGTATTTGGAACGCCTCCGAGCTGCACGGGAAGCTAGCCATTGGCCCAAGGCTGGGAAGAGGAGCACTGAGATGACGAGAAGAAGAGGAACAATAACATGAAAAATCCTCAACTCATGCGTTCTGTGAGTGGGTTCTTGATATGCTTTTGTCATTGTTTGTCCCTTAAGTTAAGGATCTTGATGCAATACATTTTCAGATTCAAAGATTGAGTGAGATGGAGTACGGTGCCAGGGGGTAGTTTTGAAACTTCGTAATAGATCTCCTTCGTTTTCGGTCTGACCTCGAGAGCACGAGCTAGCTAGCTGACCTGGCGAGAAAATTGGTATGAAACTTACGAACCTGCATCACCGAACCTATAGGACAACCTTCCAAGATCAAGCGAAAGCGAAACCTTCACCTGTTGTGAGGACCTTCAGTCGGCTCGGCACCTACCACCATTGGTGGGTCCCCAAAACCAGAATGCTGATATACCAGCAGCTCATCTCAACAAACGGCTCGAGGCGACTTGTTTGGCTATACCGAAAAGGTAGCAGCTGCCCTCTTGTGGGCTTCAATCACTTCCTCAGTGCTACAGCATTTTGCCTACCAGCAACCCAATGCGGACAAGCAAACACTCCCTAGTTCTGGGCATAGTAATTAGTTTGGGTTGGATTCGCTGGTGTTTTCTTGGGTTCCTTGCGCGATGCGCTCTAGAATTCCACACGCCACGTCCATTCATTGAAATCACCATGGAATTCCCAGTCCGGTTTGGCTGCACCTTGGGAAGGCGTGTCAAATTCGACAGCTTCAACTGCTCTATGGCCCAGCGCCCAGATACGAATGGAGAGCCAGTGGCCTCTTTCAGGGGTTATGCTCAGTAGATGGGGTGTTCCCCATTTCAGGTCGCGAAAAAGCTAATCCCATACACGACCTGTCTGGGACTGCCATCTATGCCATCCGAGAAACGCCCGTTTCACGGCAGTCCGACTTGGCAGTCCCGGTGGCGTCATCGCGTTTGGGTGGTGTTCCATCAGTGGTTCTTGCAGACATCGACTGAACGCTGTGGATGATAGATACAAGTGCAACCTCGAAGCTTGCCATGGTAACATTGGTCACATTGGTACGAAAAGGCATGATGAACCAGATCAGAGGACTGATCAGAGGTTGTTTTTGTTGATCACATAAGAAGTAGTTTCAATAGAAAAAATGGTTCTTGTTCAAACCCTGATATATCCATTATCCATTAAATTATATAGCTTTGGCGCCTTATCTTCACGGCCAGGCGCCTTCCTTAGCGATGAGGAGCTGGAGGCAAGGGCCATCGGTTTTGGCTCGGTGAAACTGGTTGAGGCTTCCCCTTTCCTGAGCCAGGCATTTTGCGAGTGGTGACAGCCCATAGAGTGATGACAAAGCAAGTTTTAGGGGATGGTTTATCCACAAAAATTAATTTTCACTTGGAATTTCAGCTATGTAGGCATAGGTGTTTGGCTTGAGGTTATCTAAGCCTACCGGTACTACTACTGGATATTTACCCGAACATTCAATCATAGCACATTCTTCTGGCGAGCCAAGGAAATGAGTACTTGTTTGAGTTTCGCAGAGTCTTTTTAATGAAACGAGCATTGTTTCAAGATGTGTCAAGATGTTGAACACTACAGCCACCTGAAGCAAGCGTCCCACGGCCACACGCAGGTTTGTTTGGTCACAACATGCCTATAATCCGCTGCCGTTGTTGAATTCACATTGACCCAACCAGAGTTAGCTGCCAACCAGACCTCAAGTACCCAGGCACCACGGTGGGTGACGTGTCTCGGAGACAGACGTGTCTCACCCCGTGTCGCAGCCGAACGAAGCGTCGGGTCCAGGGCTATCCGGCCGAGGAAAAGGTGAAGGCAGCGAGCCCTGGGGGAGGGGGAGTTGATGTAGGACAGGAACTGGTGATTGTTATGGTGATTGGTCCTGTCCGAACTTACCTGTAACAGTCAGTAAACAATCATCATCATCATCATCATCATCATCATCATCATCATCATCCACTGTTACAGGTAATAGGATAGACCCAATTAGTGGTGAACTCCCCTTTGGAGATGGAGGTCAAGTGTGTTGCTTGGGTGCATGGAATTGTTGAAGGTGACTCCAACAGTCTCCATAGGACGGAGTGCCTCGACCGAACAAATGGATCGCTATGGATCGCTGGCAATTCGTCGACGCACTTCGTCGATCGCACCCATCGGGTTTGCTGGGCCAAAGATGATCCCAAATTGCCCATACGATGCCATTCTGTGTTCCAGTTTCAAGCTTCGTTGTCATATGCTTTGTTCCTCAAGCTAAAGAGATCGCGCATTAATGGATTCACAGGATTCTCACGACGTCATTTCCTACCTACCTACCTACCCACCTACCCACCTATCTACCTACCGTTTTGCACTAACCACAGCAAGAGGGCTCGACTTTATTCCTTCATGAGATGACTTAGGAGGTGTTTTTGGGACCTTTGGGCGATCTTGTACCACTAGACACGTGCCGCTCGAACGAGGTCAACAAATCTAGAAGAAAGACAGGCTGCGGGGCCGCCCGAGTTCGTTTGTTTCGTGCGCCGAACTTGGGCGGCCAGACGGGGAGACCGAACTCTCGCGTGGCGTTTCGGGGGGGAGACCTGGTCGTCCCCCTGATGTTCGTGACCAAAAAGCCTCGTGGAGCGGGCGCGTTTCGCCGATGTGGAGCCATAGCTGCACTGCTCGGCTGCACTGCTCTTGATGTTGCTTCAATACAGAGGATCCAGGGAGTGCGATAGATGAACTTGGCCGCCGATAGCCTATAGCCAACAAGAAAGTCAAGTGGAAAAAGGCAGATGGCAAGAACAAAGACATCGAAGAACACAAACAAAACAAGGCTAACAGAACCAAAGAAGCCTTTGACCAAACAGAACTGAGTGACCCCTTTGAGTTCATGAGTTTGTTTAGTGACGTGTTGTTTTGATCGTTTCAATGTAGTCGATTACTGTAATGCCTATTGTCTATTATGTAACTTTGTAATATTTTGTAGGTGTTTGTGTGTGTCCTTTTAATTCCTTTTACTTACCATTTGCCATTGCAACCACCTTTTTCCACGTATCGCCGGTCCAGTTCCCACATGTTTGACGGCGTCAAGCAGATCACAACCAGCACCGGAAGATCGAAGGTCGAAACCGGCGCAGAACCGCAAAACCACTTCCGATCGGCGTTTTTTCTTCGTTCATTTGAGAAACCTGGAGGTTTGAAAACAGATATTTAGGTGCGCCCCCAAAAGTCATCCGCTCTAAAAAATTGCGTGCTCAGGTCTTGGAGGGACACTTGTCAAAAAGTATTAAACACATTGACAAAACATGGACATATTCAACAAAGAGGCTTGCTTGGCCTTCAAGATGTTTGGTTGTGTTTCCCAATGCCCCATAATGCCCCTTTATCACAACCAGATGGCTGGTCAGCACGACCCTAATCACCAAAACTGCCTTCGGATGGACATCTGGAGTCTGGAGGTTTTGAGCGCAAGGCCTGGCACAAAAATCAACATCAGTCGAAGCTGTCGAAGGTCAGGACGGAAGTCTTCTTTGTGAAGCGAAAACGTAGGTGATGGAGGGACCTTGAAGAATCACGAAAATGGTGGC